TGGGATGGCCAACGGTGGGCAGCTGGGGCTCGTCCGCAGAACATCTCGCCTTGGCAAGAGCCATGGGAGAGCATCATCGTGCCTCACTGGCTCTGTTTTGTGTCAGACAGTGGAAGGATGTTGTTGGTTTTCATTTCTTTGACCTAAGGGAGATTTCTGTCCTCTGCCAGGGCTGGGTGAGACCTGTCATGGTGCAATGCCTGTCATCAGAAGAAGACTGCTCCTTCCTCTGTGACACAGGTACTCCTGTTGCTAACAAAAAGCAGGCTGGAAGGTACTGTCCTTGATGACCCTTTTCCATATCTCTACAGTCTATCAGACCTTGACTATTGTGGAGCAAAGAGGCCCAAAGAGAAAGGCTTTCACCAACCTGATCCTTGGAAACTGATGCCTTTCCATGGACCTGGGGAAGAGGCAGGAGAATAGAGGAAGAATAGAGGAGACCTCTAGGTAAAGGGACTCTGCTCGGAGGTGCAGGATCCAAGCCAATAGCCCTGTTTCAAATACTCCTGGGACACAGCTCCAGTGACAGCTTTGCCCCCATGAAGCTCGCCAAGACCCTTCCCAGGCTGGGGACCTGTTGAGGTGGTGTGGTTAGGTGGATGGGAGTTCATCCTTTGCTCTCTCTATACCAAAGTAGCGGGTTCATCACACATCATTAACTCAAATGCTGCCTGGATGACTTCAAACATAAGCATATCCCCTTGGGAAGTTCAAGAGAAGGTGATAGCAGAGATTTCTGTCCCACACCCTGAGTCTTTCCATTGCTCAAGAGACCCCCTGCTCTTTGGGCTAGATTCATGCAGTTGTGATGAGTCTGGCTACCCGGGGCAGAGTTGAGGCTTGAAGCTGCTGCAAGATGGACCATCCCAGTGGGCTCTGGGGTCACCCATCCCGAATAAGCAGTTCATTCTTCCATGCAAAATGTCTTCACTCCAGCAAGGGCATGGAGACCGCTTGCCACGGGGAGCTGTAACTTCAACAAAGGATTCCTTTCTCCCAGCCACGACACAATTGATGGAGTTAAATAAATCTGTCATGCACAAAGCAAATGGCATTAAACGGCCTCCTCTCCCGCTCCAGCCAGATAAAAGCTGGGCCCTTCAGAAAGTGTTTAGAAACTATTTTTCATGCCCTTGTGTTCACTCGTCCCTCCTGTTGCATCCTCATTGCACTCACCCATTCAGGAGCCTGAATTTCTAATAAGAACCAAAAAATAAAGCAGAAGGGGAATAAACCCAGTGTCAAAACCCATTCAGAGCTTCTATTATTTGGATCAAAAGGGGAAGGTCCCTCACAGGTCACTTTTAAATGTGTCTGTCTACAGGCAAAGAGATTCAAAGTGCGTTTATCATCCTTCCCATTCACCCTCTCCGTTGTCCACAGCAACCCAAGGATATTTTCCTGCTTCATGACGTGGTGATTGCCACCATGTGAAGAAGGAGGGTTCTGCTCTGCCTCACACATCATCCACATGGCTGTCACAGCACTGGTGGTGACACGCAAGGTGGAAGGGGACTGGGACAACTTGTCTCAAAACTCATGTGGGCTGCAGGGCAGCAGTAGGAGCAGCCAGCTGGAACATTTTACATGTAGTAATTCACCCAAAAATGGGGTTTCAGCAGGACCAGAAGGAGCTGTAAGTTCAGGTTTCAGTCGTTTGGATGTATGTGAAAGTGTCAGCATAGTCCTGCTAGATGTTTCCAAGGTAAAACGTCTCATTTCAGAAGTGCTGGAGTATTTCACTAGACAGGCTTGAAACAAAACTCTTTTCCTATTTTCATAGGGCATTTTTATTTAAAGCCTGACCCAAAACGGGGGAATATGAGGCTAAGGAAAAACACTGGGTATCCCAAGGGAAAGGCTTCCTTTTGGGTCAAGGGGACAAACGACTCCAGAGAAACCTCTTGTGATGGTTCTGATCCCTGGCCTTGATGTCCAGCCCCAGTGACCTTGACTCAGACATAGGCTGAACATGGGCAGAAACAGTTGGTGGGGAGGATCAGCAGAATCAGGGCAAGCTGCAGGACTGTAGGGATGGTGAGGAGCAGCAAAGAGGGAGCCATGGGAAATGACATGGATGGGGGAGAGGAAAAGGTAAGGGCAGCATGTGGGGGATAGCAAAGGAGGAGAGGGAGAAGCAGATCTGCTTAGCTTTCAGTGGTGCAGGGATGGGAGAGGAAGAGACAAAGCCCAGAATAAGACAAACTGGGGCATGGGTTGGAAGAAGGGTTGGAAGCTTTGTCTTTGGGTGGGGGCTCTGGGGAAGGGACCCCAGGGTAAGGTCCATGAGGTTGAGCTTTGCTGAGGTTCAGGATAGGAGTTTAGTGCTGGGCAGGCTGCGGAGGGAGCAGAGCAGCCGGGCTGTGACCCAGAGCCTGGGAGCACAGTGGCCATGTCACAAGCAGGACCCACATGAGGTTGTCTCTTCCTATGGCTCAGCCTCTCCAAGTCCTCATACCTTCCAGGACACTGATGTAGGAGGGAGTGTCTTTCCCTTTGGCACATCTGGCTGCTTGTCCATCTTTCCTCCCACCACATTAGGAACATCCTGGCTTCATGCCTTATCCCAATGGCATCCCTTTCACAGCCTTGTGTCCCTTCACAGACTGTGCAGTGCTGTTCTTCTCACTGAGGCCAATGCTGACATCTATCAGTCAACCTTATCTCCGGATCCAACCTGGTGCCTTTTAGGTCCCCCCATCTCTTTCCAAACAGGTGGCTACGCATTAATGAGGCCTAGAGATAGTTAGAGAGTTATAAATATCTTCTGAGATGATGAATTTTAATCAGGAGCCTCTAATGAGCACAAGATGAAATCAGGAATGAGAATGATGGTCCCCCAATGGATCTTCATTAACAATTTAAATGACTGAGGTCTTAATTAAAGGGCTCAGGACTTAGCTGAGGGATTACAGATTGCCCAGGGGGGGGAGAAACCAAAGACTTCAAACCCCCTTTTGTACAGGAGGTAATGAGCTTTTAAATTAGATTTTTTAAAATATATATAAATAAATGAACAAGGCCTTGCTGTTTTCTATGGCTTCTTCACTCATTTCAACAATGCTTAGACCTTGAAATGTACAGCCTCAGCCTGGCAGCCCCCCTGTCACACGCAGGTCTGCTCACTGCTCCTGTCATCACCTCTGCTTAGCACTGACCCTTGGCATGGACAGCATGAGGGTCTCCATGTTCCCCTTAGGGAATCCCCCAGGGATTCCTGATCTCAGGGGGGATGTCTGCAGGGAGGCACTGAGATGGGTCCAATCTCCCACCAGATTTAAGGTTCTCCTCCCTTCCTTAGTTGTTCTGAAGTGGTTTTCCTAGAGAAAAGTGCATAGATGCTCTGCCTCCGGACAGCCTCCAGCCCTCCCTCCTAGGCAAGCACAGTGTCCTAGTCCTTCTTCCTGGGATGGAGTGACCCTCTTGTCTGCCACCAACACAACTCTGCCTCATCCAAGCAGCCCATTGTGCCCGTGGCTCTCCTGCATTACCTGGGTGTTAGGGTGACACCTAAAAGCTGGTGATGGAAATCAACCCCAGTGAGCTCGGCCTGAGACTGTTGGCTCCGTCAGACCCAGGGGACACAGGGAGGGAGGGGATTCTCCAGAGAGAAGAGAGCTCCAGAGGAGAGGAGGAGTTTCAGACCATTGGGCGAAGATGAGCGGTCAGACCTGATCCAGTGCTTTTCCCCAAGAAGGAGAGGGACAGACAGCAGTGGAGCCAGGCAGGGGGATGCTGTAGAGGGAGGAAGGGATGGATGGATGGATGGATGGATGGATGGATGGATGGATGGATGGATGGATGGATGGATGGGTGGATGGGTGGATGGGTGGAGGGATGAAAGGGCGGATGGATGGATGGAGGGATGGATGGAGGGAGGGAGGGATGGGTGAATGGGTGGGTGGATGGATGGGTGGATGGATGGATGGAGGGAGGGATGGATGAAAAGGCGGAGGGATGAATGGATGGATGGGTGGATGGATGGATGGATGGATGGATGGATGGATGGATGGATGGATGAAGGGATGGATGGAAGGGTGGAGGGATGGATGGATGGAGGGAGGGAAGGGTGAATGGGTGGATGGAGGGATGGATGGAAAGGTGGATGAATGGATGGAGGGATGGATGGAGGGAGGGAGGGAGGGAGGGATGGATGGATGGATGGATGGATGGATGGATGGATGGATGGATAAATGGATGGATGGATAAATGGATGGATGGATGGATGGATGGATGGATGGATGGATGGATGGATGGATGGATGATGGATGGATAGAAAGAGACACTCAGGGTGAACAGTCAAGGTGGAAATGGCTCCAAGACCTGTGTCTTGGACTGACTGCTGTGTCCAGTGAGGCTCAGGAGCAGGTCTTGTGCAAAGGGAAGGACCATTTCTGTGCCATGTTTCACAGAAGCTGTCCATAAGCATCTCCATTCCTGGTGGCTCCTGAATGTCTGCTGCTCCCAAAGCAAGAAGCTCAAGGAGGGCTACCTGCAGTAGTAGTTTGAGGAACCTGTGTGAAGAGCAAGCCATTTAAAACAGCAGAAACACTGGACCTGGATTTCCTGGCTATTTCTATATTCCTCCAAGGCCTGGAGAAACAGCCTCTGTGGGGATCCTCTGATGGTTAATAAGGTCTGAACATCCCCATGCAGCCTACAGGCATCCGTGAAGTCTTAGATCCTCCAACCTCCTCCCCAAAATCTCCCAGATGAAGCTGGGCAAGCTTTCAGAGGGCTGAAAGAGACACACAGAGGCACAAAGTGCTATCCCATGACCCGTGGTTCATTAGGAAACTTGGCTAAAATGGACGGATGCACTTGGAAACTGAAGTGTGAGCCCTTTCCAAAGGGGCTGGCCTGGCTGAGTGCAGCCTGCTCTGGAGTTAAGATAAAGGGCACTATAAAACCTCCAAAAGCCCCTGGATTGGTGTGCTGACTCTCACCCTGGGGTGCAGGTTGGACAAGTGTGTGGCTCCAGCTGGGACATAGGGCTGGGAGCTTTGAGCAGCCACAGCAGGGAGCACCCTCACCTCGGAGGGATCCAGACTGGGACCCCCCAGGCTCAGCCACCTCTGCACGGCTCCTGCAGGACCCAGGGGTGACACCAGATGAACAACACGTCCTGCATGGCTCCAGGTAGGAGGATGGAGGGAGGGATGCAGTAGGACTGAGCAGTGGCTCTGGCAGGGTCCTGCATGGAGTGGGGCTGGGTACCAACCTGAGTAGATCCTGCACAGGGGATCTGGCCCTGCATGAGAAACATGGGGATGCAAGGGAACTGCTGTGAGTCCTCTCTTCTTCACAACCTTTTGAGAGCTCAGCATGTGAAACACAGTACTAAAAACTGTGCTCATGTGTTTCTGCCCTTGATCTCTATCCCAAAGACACCACATCCCCAGCATTTTGGCTTGCTCAGCTGCAGGGATGCTGGAGGGTGACATTGGCTCCTCTGAGGAGCTGGGACCTGGAAGGGGATGCTGGGGTCAACACAGACCTGTCACCACCTTCTTCTGTAAATCAGCCCTTGCTCTTCTTAGAACAGTTTGGGTTAGAAGGGACCTCAAAGCTCATCCATTTCCAATCCCCTGCCATGGGCAGGGACCCCTTCCACTAGAGCAGCTTGCTCCAAGCCCCTGTGTCCAACCTGGCCTTGAACACTGCCAGGGATGGGGCAGCCACAGCTTCTCTGGGCACCCTGTGCCAGCGCCTCAGCACCCTCACAGGGAAGAACTTCTGCCTTATCTCCAACCTGAACTTCCCCTGTTTCAGTCTGAACCCATCACCCCTTGTCCTATCACTACAGTCCCTGATGAAGTGTCCCTCTCCGACATCCTTGTACCCCCCTTCAGATACTAGGAACTGAGCTCCAGAAATACCCCATCCTTTCAGATGTGATGCTGGTCCCCAGTGCAACTCCAGGTGCTGGGATACCTTGCAAGCCCCCAGCTGCTGCCCATGCTTGCCCTGCTGCAGAGCCCCATCCAGAGCAGTGCCTGTGGTGCTCCCACCCCATCGCCATCCCCACATCCCGAGGTGCGAGGGTGACTTCACCGGCTGCCGGGGGCTGGCTCCGGAGGGGCAGCAGCTGTGGGGCTGGCCGGGACTCGCACCGATCACTCTGTAACTTCTGACGGAGGCTGGGTTTGCTGAAACGTTCACTGGATCCTTTCCAGCCTGCTGGGGCCCATAAATCCGCCCGTGCAGAGCCTGCTCCCGCGCCTTCCCCTCGCTGAGCAGCGCTGGTATTTTTCTTGGAGGGTGAGACTGGTCACAACCCTCCTTCCAGCACCTGCTGCTCCACCTCGAGCCGCGGTCCTGAGCCGTGGCAGGGAATGGGTCTGAGGAGACAGTAAGGGCAGGACTCCCAGAACCATCCCCGATGGCTTCTTCTTGGACAGATGAGCCAGCAACAGCCATGGGATGCTGATTGTCCTGTTTGGTGTCGATGCCTGCGGTTATTCCCTGCTCACCGGGGGTCTGCTGTGGAGCACGGCTCCAGGGCAATCTGTGGGACTCTTCTCCCTCTCGCAGCACAGGGATCTCTCTGTGCCTGTCTGTGAACTGGAGCTCAGGAGACCTTATTGCTGGCACAGGGAGCTCCCAGATCGTAGAATCACAGAATCACAGAATAGTTTGGGTTGGAAAGGACCTTAAGCTCATCCAGTTCCAACCCCCTGCCATGGGCAGGGACACCTCACACTAAACCATGGCACCCAAGGCTCTGTCAAACGTGTCCTTGAACACTGCCAGGGATGGAGCATTCACAACCTCCCTGGGCAACCCATTCCAGTGCCTCACCACCCCCACAGGAAAGAACTCTTTCCTTATCTCCAACCTGAACTTGCCCTGTTTCAGTTTGAACCCATCACCCCTTGTCCTATCGCTCCAATCCCTGATGAAGAGCCCCTCTCCAGCATCCTTGTAGATCCCAAGAAACAATCTGGGATCTCCAACATGAAGGGTGTCTCCAGCATGGAGAGATGCAGCCAAGGATCAGCAGAGCTGGCTGGGAGTCACAGCAGGTGAGGAGGAGGGAGGAGGCTGGGCTGGGGCACGTCTTGATGCCCATCATTTATGGACGTGCCATCATTTAACATCTCTTACAGACCAGTCTCTGCAACATCCCAGCTGCTTTCCAGCCACTGATCCTTTACCATTACTTCATGCCCTGCTCCAGAGATCACCTTTGTGTGAGGAGCTGTGCTTTGGACCTCGTTGGGATGCACCAGAGAGGGCCATGGTGCCACTTAGAGATGCTTCATTGTGAGCAGCTCCTTCTTGCTCACCTCCTACATCAGTCCTTGTGTCCTCATTACCTGGACAGTTTCCCCTGTCTGTTATCAGCAATTTCCAGATCCCCTGTGGTCTCATTATCAAGTATGTGCGAGCCCCAAGTGATGTGGGATGCAGCACAGTTGGGTGAGGGATGCTGGGTGAGATCCGTGGCTCCTGTTGAAAGCCACTTGGGATGTGCAAAGGGAAATGTGTGCATGTAAAAGAGGGCACTGAGATGCACCTGGGCAGTGCATGGAAAGCTAACCCTGGAGAGCTCTTCGAGCACCAGATTCGAGTTACACGCCTCACTGTAATTAGCCTCTGGCTTCCCTTGCAGAATGAGCAGTTGTTTCTGTAATCTGCCACAGCAGAGTTATGGGCACGTGAGGCTGGCACAGGGGGGCTGTAAAACCAGACCTGCCTGACCCACTTGTCAAAAGGAAACCACCTGGCCGGAGAAAAAAGGATTTATTTGCTTCTCCCTTCACCTCGTTCTCAAAGGCAAAATGTTGGCTCCTTGTGGAGTTCCTGGACCTGCTGCTGCAAGAAGCAGCTATTTGTACCCTGTCCAGATCTACTCCCTGATGCTTCTATCCCAGCATCACCTTCCACACAGGTATCCCAAACCCCTGCGCTTTCTGGTTGCAGAAACATTCTGCACTTGCTCCCGGTAGCACAGGGACAAGTTAGGAGGGTTTTGCATCGGCTTCAAGCAGCAGTGTTCTCCAGGCCTGCTCTGCATAGAGATGGGTGCCTCTGCACTGGTTTGCCTAAGTGAACATCCCACGATTTCCCCAAATCCTTTTCATTCTCTTTGTTCCCAGGGATGTTTCACAGGAGGTGAACCTCCAGCTGTGCCCGGAGCATCTCCAGCAGCATGGTTTTTCTACTGACCATCATCTGCTGAAGATCATGCACCAGGAAAAGGTCTCGGACAATGGCCCCACCAAAGAAATACCTTGTTCTCCAGCCCTCTCCTCAAAGATGTCAGGTATCTTACGAGCAGATCAAGGACTTGGGATGTAACTTCACTCACATTTAGAAGCTCATTCTCTTGAGCTGCTGAATTTGTCCTGATTCAGCCAAATCTCTGGTCCTCCTGGAGCACTGCAGAGATGCTGAGACCTTCCAGCCCCTGCCACTTTCTGCCCGTATCTGTTTCCCCTGTATCTGACCCTATCAGTGCCAGCAGCACTGGGCCACTTTTTCTGTGTACCGGTTTGGATGCCCAGTGCATGACAGCATCTTGTCTCGTGGTAGATGACTCATATGGGACCTGCCCCAAGTCCCACGATGAGATTTTCAGCCACATTATTAGCTCGCAGCCTTGATGGATGGGCTTGTTAGCCCTTGGGTTACTCATGAAGCATCTTTCTTCTGCAGTTTCTGATTAAAAACATCTTTCTGTTTCATCTTTATAGGAAGTACAGCAGTTATTGCTGGGCTGCAGCTCCATTTAACCTCTTTGGCCTAAGTTAGCCAAAAATAACTAATCACAGCATATGGTCAGAAACCATATCTCCCAACCACCTCCTCTGGATGTGGGGTGTCACTGGGGGCAAACAACCCCTCTTGGCTGGGCACTGCCAGCACACTGGGGTGCTCTCTGCCTCCAGGGAGCTTTTGTGGTGCCTGCAGTGGTGACCCTGCTTGGTTTATGCAGGGGAGCTGGTTAGAGCAGCTGGACTGCAAAGAGAAGACTGGTATTCTAGGCTGGTGGCACCAGAGGTGACTCTTAGGAAGGGTCTCACATGCAGATTACACAGCTCTCCTGGTTGGAGAGGAGCAGAAATAAGCATGTCAGACCCTTGCCTAAGTAGGTCAAGCCTCAATTCTGACCCCTAAGTGAGAAGCTATGTGCTAGAGAGATGCTCCAGAAGGAGTGCAGCCCTTCCTGATCAAAAGAGCAAGCATCGGTCCCTGTGCCAAGTGCAGGAGGCTGTCTGCAGCTATGGTCAACCTCCTCATGGCTTGGTGGGCAGTGCTGAGACCAGGCAGCACAGCATGCTGCCCAGCCTGAGCCGAGCCCCTCACGTCACACACAGGACATGCAGGTGCCTGAACTTGCTCTAGAGCTGAGACCTCCCATTGGGTTTTGCCTGGTGCATCAGTGCAAGGTCTGCAGGAGAACAGCTTCATCCTGTGTTCAGCTCCACCTGGGTGACTGTGAGGACAAGGCAGGGGAGTGTGGGCAGCAAACTGAGGCTGGAAAAGTAGGGTTTGAAGGGGCTGGATTACAGCCTGCGCCCAGATCAGTGTTTCAGAGTGGCTCTAAGTGCTGCCTGGTGTTTGCTTCCCTCCTATCAACACTCCCAGATCCAAAGAAACAGCTGAAACCTCTGAAAACGGTGGACTTAGAAGTAAGAAAAAAAGAAAACAAAAAGTACCCCCCAGCCAATCCCCAAACTAAAGAGATCAAGAGAGCTTCCAGGGCTTCACCTTCCAAGAATCTGGGATTATTTTGGGGAAGGCAATTGGAGCAGGGAACCAAAAGGCAGCAGATAGCCCCTGCCTCTGATCCCATCAGCTGCGGGTGCCGTAAGGCCAGCACATCTCTTGGATCCAGTTGGGCAGATCCCAGGCTGTGGAAAGCCAAGACTCGGATTTATTTCTGCAGTTTCCCATTATCCTCATGTCCTGCTGGAACAGCACCAAAACACAGGGCTGGGAGTTTTGTAACACTGTTTTCTATAGCAGAGCGTGGAGCTTGCACAGGAGCCTGCATCCTAGTGCAGGCAAGGGGTTAGAGGAAGCCAAAGGGGTTTTGCTTCTCCTGCAACACCCCAGGCATTAAGATGTTGAGATCCAAGATAAACAGGAGCTCTCCCATGGTGTCACTGAGAGGTGAGAGAAGATGAGGATGCTGGCCCCCGAGGAGGGGATGCGTCCCAGTTCCATTGCTTGCTCCTAGGGAGTATGCCTGGATCACTCAGGGTGATTGGTACCTCTGTCCTGACCCTGGCTGCAAACTTTGCTCTTTGGGTCTGAAAGTTCCTCCTTCTCTCTCCAGAAATATTTTCCCAGCAGTGAGCCAGGATCTGGCCAAAGGCTATGAAATAAGGCAAATTGCCACCCATTGTGCCCACAGCTTAAAGATGCTGTAGGGAGAGATGCTAGAAGCATAACACTGGGGCAAATCAAGTCCCACCAGGATGTGAGCTAAAGGTTGAATGTGATCAAACCCTTAACGCTGTTGGTTTTCCTGTGAAACTACAGCATCATTTAGGGCAGGGACCGGTTTCTAGTGGGGGCACACATGGCAACTCTACAGAGCACTAAAATCACCTCAGTGATCAGGAAAAGCCCACGTTTGCTCTCCTGAAGTGTTTGCAGGTAGAGGAGCTGGGCAACAGCCACCCTCCAAGGGGATTTTGCATAGAATCATAGAACGGTTTGGGTTGGAAAGGAGCTTAAGATCATCCAGTTCCAACCCCTGCCATGGGCAGGGACACCTCAGACTGGACCATGTCACCCAAGGCTCTGAGAACCTGGTCTTTTTGCTTTTCTGCCAAGCAATTCTGTCCATTGTCAAGGGTTTCTTTTCCTGTGAAGGCTTTCTGAGCTAGCAATAAATAGCCACTGTGTGTTTCTGCATGTAGACCTCTTTAAGAACATGACACTGCTTCAGAGAAACAACGGGTTAAAAGCTGTTACCCCCTCACTTCAGCAAAGCATCCATATGAGGAGAAGGCATCCTGAGCCCCAGCAAGATGGATGACTCACCCCTGCCCAGAAGGACAAGCTGGCAGCTCTGACTCCAGACGGATGCTGTCTGGTACATGGGTTGCACAACCATGGGATCACAGAACGCTGCTTGGCAGCTTGGGCTGCGGGACTGCAAAACACGACGCTGTGACACTGCAGCGACTCACCCGAGCGCTGAGCTCATCTCGTGGTGTGCCAGGCTTTCCAAAAGCACCGAGGTGCCGACAACCAGGGGTTTAGCGAGCAATAATTTGGGAAAGTCCGTATTTCCTACTGGAACCGGGCAAGAATCAGCAGAGCTGGTGCAGGGCCTGGAGCACAAGTGTGATGGGGAAGGGCTGAGGGGGTTCAGCTGGAGAAGAGAAGGCTCAGGGGGGACCTGATGGCTCCCTACAACTGCCTGACAGGAGGATGGAGCCAGGAGGGGCTGGGCTCTGCTCCCAAGGAACAAGGGATGGGACAAGAGGAACTGGCCTCAAGCTGCACCAGGGCAGGTTTAGATGGAGCTGAGGAACAATTCCTTCCCCAGAGGGTGCTCAGGCATTGGAACAGGCTGCCCAGGGCAGGGCTGGAGTCACCGTCCCTGCAAGTGTTCACACACCCTCAGTGCCATGGGGCAGGGGTGGCCTTGGCAGTGCTGGGAACGGTTGGACTGGATGAGCTTAAAGCTCTTTTCCAACCTGGTTCATTCTATGGTTCTATAAGAAAAGCAGCTCCTGCGATGCCCCCAGCACTGAGGATGCCAAAGCGTGTGCAAGGTGCTGGCTGCAGGGAGGGCAAGGGAGGAACGAGGAGGGAGAAGGGATCATTTTTCACTTTCCAATCCATTTTCATCATTAAAGCACCTGTGTGAGCGCACATCAGCCCCCTCTGCGGTGGGGAGCAGGGGCAGAGCGTGCTGGGTGGCTGCGCCGGCTCCTATCGCCAGGCAGGGCTGTCCTGATCTCATGCGGTCAGAAGTAATCCCACACAGTTATTATGAACAAGCACTGTTTTCCTTGGAAATAAAGGGCCCTCTTTCAAAATATCCCATTTTTATGAAATATTGTTTTTCTGCCGCCAAGTTTGATTGGGATCTTTTCCAAAAAATTATGATTTTTTTTTTTGTATTATTTTTTTATAACCTGAAACTCTCCCAGAAAACTCCATCGGAGAGAATGGAAAGAGCGCGTGTGTCCTTCCCTGGGCATTTCCTCGCTGCAGGGAGATGGTGGAAGAGGGAAGACTTCTCCTGTGGCTCCATCTCCCAGCAGAGGAGAGCGTGAAGCTTCGTGCTCAAGCATGCAATAAACAGCCAGTAATGCTGTGAGAAAGTGGTGGAAATACACACGGGGAAAGCAGAACCCATCAGAATCAAAGCATCAGCACCCACATACAGGAACTGGATTAGGAATATTTCCCAGGAAAGGAAAGTAGGAAAACCTCTTTTTTCCCGGCTACCTTCTCCTAATCATGGAGGGGTGTTGTTAAACAAGACAGCTTTTCCAACCACATGGCGATGGCCACGGTGCTGTCATTAAACTGCTTCAAATGGCACATTTGCAGGCTGGGCTTTACGGCTCCTTGACTGGCCACTGTGAAGTTTTCTACAGCACTTTCACGTGCGCGCTTGTCCTTGGCATCTCATGCCAATGAAGGAGGCTCAGTGCTGGTGCTTTCCACCCCAGCACTGCAAGTGGGAACATCAGAGGGTTGTCTTTCCTGCGCAAAGCCCCTAAGGCAGCCAGGTAATTAATTCTCTGCTTTTGAGGAGAGCTTAGTCTGGCAAAGAGTTCAAGGCAGGAGCATTAGGAGAGATCAGCTTCTGCTGAACCCCAGGAGAGATAGATGCGCTTCCCCCTGGGGCCTGCTCAGCTGGGAGGCAGCTAGTGAAAGCAAAGCAGGCTTCCCAACAGGAATCACATCCCGAGTCGTTATTGTCAGACACTTGAGCATCAGCCAAGGACATGCAGTGAGCGTGTCCCGGTGTGAGCCCTGCTGGTTTTACCATCCTGCTGCTGCACCATGCACTAGGTTGCTGCCTGCCCTGGGCTCTGTGGGGTTGACCCAGCTCTGCCTGACACCTCACAGACCTTGGTGCCATCCAGCAACGAGCAGAAAACCAACACAATGAGGAGGTACCTCATTGCATCCCAGGGTACCAGTGTTACATTCTCTCCCTATCCAGCACCCAGCGTGTTGGCATTTCACTGTGATTTGTGCTGTTTCCATGTGGGGCACCCCCCGGGGCACGGTCAGCTCTGGCTACTCAGGGACCTGAAGGCTTTTCTGAGTGCTCTTACAAACCAGACAGGTTGCTGCAGCAGTGGTGTTCACCCTCTCCTGTCCTCAGGTGTCGAGGGGAGGCTGGGGTGTTGTTTCTGCCCTCTCTCATTGTAGCGGTGGTCACCCAGAGGGAGCAGGGTAACAGCTTTCTCCACATGCTGGGCTCGGTGACCTGCAGGTCCCTGTGAGGTGATTTGATGAAAGAAAAACACACATTTTGCCAAGCCTTTTTGTGCTGTTTGCTCTTCATTGACAAGTACCGACTGTGCCCCAGCCAGCTCCCCTGTGCTGGTGGGCTCGCTGATGGCAGCAGGTCACTGTTGGAGATGCTCCTGCACGCTGAGAGCAACAGCTTTGAGTTCATGGCCTCTGTGCAGATCCCGATGTTGCTCCCAGGTCAACAGTTAGGTCACCAGGCTGGGCTTGCCTTGCTGGCACACCA